TGGTCACACCTCATAGATAGGATATGAGAAAGGGTATTTCATAAATAGGTTAGGGAGGATATGTGTGCATGTATGTTTTTGTGGTTGTTTGTGCGTATCTTGTTGTTATTGTAGTTATTGTGTGCATAAGCATAAAGAATGGAGAAAATATTAGGTTGATGCATAATTATTGCGGATTTTTTTCAGCAAATTTTGCTTGAAGAAACGATAGAAATATCTAGCAAAGACATGTAGGAATGATTGCTCCGGAACATATCCACCATCTACGTTAAGCACTGTTTCCCATTTGCTATGCAGTCGGATTCACATGCGATTAAGTTCCGATTCTTGAAGGCGATAAACACCTTGACGTCAATCGTCAGTAACCCATTTAGTCGAAAGTTCTGTTCGTGAACCAATTTTTCAATGTGCGATCAACGTGATAATCCATAGGAATTTCTGTTGGTGAATAGGGCGACCGTAGAAGCAAATTTCATTCTTTATTCTGCTGTGGCTTATTGTTCCATTGCCGAGAAGTTCGTCGAGATCACGTTATGAGTGTGCCGCCTTCCATCATTTCTCGAAGTAATCGAGCATAGTGTGGCGTACATGAAGATGACTTTCTAGACATATATCTGTTAAGGAAAGCGAAAAGATTATTTCTACAAAAATCTCGAATTCAAAAATTCTATTTTAACAAGAAGAAAGAAGCCGCGAAAAAATCCGTAATAATTATGCATCAACCTAATATAATCGGGCGTCAGTCAATCCCGTCTGAGGGATGCGCCTTTGCACCTGACTTCCATTCAAGGTCGTAGTCGCTCAATGATGTGAAATGAATACGTATTTGTCCTATACAATGTATTGCAGTGGCCAGCCTATGTAAAAATTACTGCTTCCATACTCCCAGTCTGATGCCGGTTAGCCGCTCCCAGAGTGATGGATATTTTTTTGGTCTAAGCAGATGTCAATTCAGGATCTGACCCCCATCCTATGTGTGTGTGTGTGTGTGTGTGTGCCCCAGCACCATAATAGGAGAAAATATTCGATTCGCTCCCTGCAGATCAGATTACGACCACTATAAATGTTTGATTTTTTTAGAGGCTATCCTTCTCTTAATTTCGCTTTATGCAGCGAAAAAGAAACCTATTTGAACTCTATTGATCTGATGATCTCAGGTTCATGTTCTTGAAAGTGGACAACGACTCCCGATAGCAGTGTTATTATCAATGACATTAGAAGAAATTGTTCCAGTAAATCGAATAATGGGACCAATTGAATTTCAATTGGTGGGTATTGTTAAGACTAGAAGCAAAAGATCAAGATGTCGTACACATAAGCGCAAGCATCGCTACAATGAATACCAATTGCATTGTTCTGTTTCCTCCTAACTTCTCTTCTTTGAAGCTCTTAATCAAATT